TCTCTAAGATTCCTACATATTTATGTTCGATTGTTTGTAAGCAGGATCAAAGTAAGTGCAAAACAGAAGATAAGTTTACCTACTGTAAAGATCTCAATGATGTTTTGAACGAGTTTACTGATTTTAACGCCCTAAATACACTGTTGGTCGATGATTCACCGCGAAAAATGATTCATAATCCGGTAAGTTACATTCATGCCATATTTTCATAGTTAAACAGTTGTTCATAGATTGATTGATTAATAATTTATGTTTTTTATTAGATAAACAATTACATATGTCCACATTCTTTCGACGCTGCTTCCCATTCGGACGACGATGCTCTAAGTATGACACAAATTTATTCCTGATTATGCTCATTTAGTTTCTTGTTCCTTATAAAAAAAATTAGTTTCTTGTTAGTAAAATTGCACCTGATTACTTTGATAATTGAAATTATTTATTTATGTTCTCAGCAAAAGGTGGTAAAATACACAAGTATTTGGAAATTTTGTTGAAGGCGCCTAATGTTCCGGACTTCGTTAGCGATAACCCTTTTCCATCGGATTAATTTCGTTGTAGGTACATTATTTGAACATTGTTATCTATAAATTTATTGTGTATGTATGTTTTGGTTTGATTACACAGTATGAATCAATTATGCAATTTCCATGTTCAATTTAACATGGCATTTCATTTTCATTTCATTTATAATTATAGTTTGAATTTAAATGTAAATTTTATTCCTAAACCGAAATTCTATCCATCCTAAAAACAACTTACTCAATGGATGCATCGGGAGAAAACATCAAATTCCATTTCTAAGGTAACAACTTACCTTTTTCAAATATCAACATTAGTGATAATGTGCATAATGAATTTGTCCATAATGTATTTCTAAGGTAACACTTACATACCTTTTTCAAATATACGAGTTTTTGAGAAAACAGGTGTACAAAATGTATCGACACTAATAAAACAAGTGTCGATATATTTAAAACAAGTGTCGATCCCAAAAACATCAAAAAACATAATTGTAATGTAATAGGTAAATTATTCATGTAAAAGGTCTAAATATACTGGTTTTTGAGAAAACATGTGTACAAAAAGTATCGACACAAATCTAACAAGTGTCGATACTTTTTCTCAGAACTGTATTTCAAAACCAAGTGCACTAAAAAGTGTCGATACATATATAACAAGTGTCGATTCCAAAAAACATCGAAAACCATAATTATAATGTAATAGGCAAATTAGCAATATAACCGGTCTAAATATACCGGTTTTTGAGAAAACAGGTGTACAAACAGTATCGACACAAATAGAACAAGTGTCGATACTTTTGGTCCAGAATGTATTTCAGAACCAAGTGCACATAAAAGTGTCGATATATTTAAAACAAGTGTCGATCCCGAAAACATTGAAAAACATAATTATAATGTAATAGGTAAATTATTCATGTAAACGGTCTAAATATACCGGTTTTTGAGAAAACAAGTATACAAAAAGTATCGACACAAATATAACAAGTATCGATACTTTTTCTCCAGAATGTATTTCAAAACCAAGTGCACTAAAAAGTGTCGATACATTTATAACAAGTGTCGATCCCAAAAACATCGAAAACTATAATTATAATGTAATAGGTAAATTAACAATGGAACTGGTCTAAATGTACCGGTTTATGAGAAAACAAGTATACATGAAGTATCGACATAAATACATCAAGTTTTGATACATTTTGTCCAAACTATATTTTAAAAACCAAGTGCACAATAAAGTTTCGATACATTTATAACAATTGTCGATCCCCAAAACATCGAAAAACATAATTATAACCAAATGTCTCTAACATCATGTGCTGGAGGTTCATAACCATTCTATTCCGTCTTAAAAAAAATTAGTTAAAGTAGACTGCGTGCTTGTATTCAAACCCAGCTTGACTTGAGGACATGTTAGTTTGTTATGTCCCTCACCGTTACAGAACCCACATCGCCTAATCTTCTTCTTGACCTTGTTCTTTGTTACTTGTTTTCGCTTGCGTTGTTTCTGTTGAGGGTCGTGAACGTTGTTTAAGACACTGCTTCGATTGACTGAATCATTCAAACCAAACGAGTTCTCAAATTCTTCTGCTAGTCTTTTCATCTCATCTCTTGCGGTTTTGAAAGACGTGTTTGTCTTTGATGCAGCGTATCATAACATACTTGTTGTTGCACGTAGAGAAGCAAACCTTACCATTTGCATTATTTCTTGAAGCACATTCAAATCAACAAAACTGGGTACAGAAGCCTTCGCATCTTTGGTCCACCTACTTTGAATCAAAGACCCGGGCAAATATGTGTAATCCAAGTGCTTTAAAACGTGAAGTTGATGGCGACATGGAAGTCCAACGGTCTCGAATTTTCTGTATGAGCAATTTAGAGTTTCCGTACGAGAATAAAAACTAATTTCAAATGTCCTATTTCAATGTTGTTGCCTCTTTCAATGTTGTTGCCTCATCGATATCAACCTTACTTACAGCTCTATTAGAACGTATAAATTGTGTCATAGTAGGTGTGCACAATGCATGATTAAGTTTCTGATAAGACTTACTTATAACCCACTGATCGTTTGCATTTGTTGTTATAACTATGACTCTAGCCTTGCATCCTGTTCTTGTGATTGGCTTATGAGCACGTTGACGATCAACGGTATTGACTTTTGATTCTCGAAACCCTTCTTTCGAACAACAAAATTCTTGTGTCTTCACATTCCCTTCCATGTCAAGCCGTGTTGTTCCCCGACGTGCACTAAACCCATGTTCTTGTACGAATCCCTTATAAAAGTACCAAGCTTGATCACGTGAAGAGAAGAGCTTACCAACCAATATGTCAGATTCATCAACATTATGTACTTCATGGCATTCATCGGTTGGCTTAACATTGTCTGCATCAATATGATCCATGACAAAATTTTTGTTGTGCAATTTCAGTGGTCCCAACAGGAGTTGATGGAGATGTAAGTAAAGGTTCATTGAACAACATGTTTTCAGTGGTGCTTTAAATAGGATGTGATATTGGTAGTGGTAGTTGGAGGGTGTGTACAACATTAAATTTGCAGGACATATTCAGGTATGTACAATAACTAAAACATTCAATAACTTTAAAGTAATAGGTAAATTTACAATGTAGGTGGTAAAAATATACTTTTTTAATGACAAAATTAGTAAACACAAAGATTTGTTTCGATACATATGTAAGAATATGTGTCGATACATTTTCAAAAAGTATCGACCCCAAAAACATCGAAACAAATAGTTATAATGTAATATTTAAATTAACAATGTAACCAGTATATATATACCGGTTAGTTATAAAACAGGTCAACATAAAGTATCGACACTTTTTAAGTTTGTGTCGATACTTTTTTCCAAAAGAAAGCACAAACAGGTTCACTCATAAAGTGTCGATACATTTAAAATTGTATCGATCACAAAAACATCGAAACCGATAATTATAATGTAATAGGTCAATTTACAATGAAACCGGTTTAAATTTACCGGTTTTATGAGAAAATAAGTCAGAATAAAGTATCGACACTTGTGTCGATACATTTTGTCCATAATGAATGCCCAACGAGGTGCAAGAATAACTTGTCGATACATTTAAAATTGTATCGATCCCAAAAACATCGAAACAAAAATTACAATGTTATAGGTAAATTTATAATGTACCCGGTATAAATATACCGATTTTATGAGAAAATATGTCTAAATAATGTATCGACACCTTTATAGTTTGTGTCGATACTTTTTTCCAGAATGAATTAGGAATGCCCAACGAGGTGCAAGCATAAAGTGTCGATACATTTAAAATTGTATCGATCTAAAAAACAACGAAACCAATAATTATAATGCAATAAGTAAATTTGTAATGCTACCGGTATAAATATACCGGTTAAATGCCTATTTTATTATATAAACGCTACTTATTACATTATATAAGCGCTACCTAATATGTTATTGTGCTTGATAATATTTCCGATTAAATGATATAATATAACCGATCTAAATTTTAATCGATCACTTCTTTAACCGATCACGCTATTTTTTTAGCCTTTGTACAAAATATATTGAGATAAATCACCCCTGACTTTGTAGATTGCTGTCAACTCTATTTTCCACCAACGTACAAAATATATTGAGATAAATTGTCACTTTATTAGATAAAAAATTTAAGATGGACAAATAATTGCTGAACATGTTTTAACGATAGAGTAACAAGCATACATCTTCACCAAAGCGTTGGGCATGCATCAACATCACTCCTTATTGTCCAAGTTGGGTTTCAAAATAAAATATATTTTTTACCCACCAACTTGAGGAAGTTAGTTAGGCTCGTTAGCTGATTAGTTAGATACTTAGTTACATTATAAGTGTACATAAAAGGATGTATATGTAATAATTTGATGATATATGATTAAGCACTATTCCTGTACGTATTTGTCTCTATACAAATTTAACATAATCGGTTTAAATAATTAATCTGATATTATTTAAAATTAAATATTTATTTAAATGTTTCTTGAATTAAAATATTAAATTAAAATTCAAAAATTTAAGTATAAGTTTTAGAAAAAGATGGGAACTTGAAGTGTTCAGATTTTACTTGTAATTTTATAGATTAGAAATAAATTTTAAGTTATAAAATATAACATAAATTATTTGAAGAATTTAAATTTTTAATAATTAATTGATTAAGTTTTAAATTTAAGTCGATTTTTTATTCTAACATGATATATTAAAATAATCACCTTTCTTTTAAATGCTCTTTTTGATTCAATGGCGGCTGGTGGTTTGATATAATTGCACCCATCACCAATTTTTTTATTTTATCTTTTGGTTTCGGTATCTAAAAAGTGATGATATTAACATTTTTGAAACATAGATTTCTCTTAAGAACCACCGTTCAAACAAATTGTTGAGGGCAAAATCCACATCTTCCAGCCGACAGTTCCTATTTAAACAAACAACAAAATCCCAAACAAATTCTCTCATCTCAACGATAATTTACACGGTTGAGATTTGAGTTGAGTACCCGTCACTGTAAACGTTTAGTTTAGTTCATTTGCAGTGAAAGCTTTCAACGGAAAACGCGGCTATGGCTGCTGACAGTGTTCCACTTCTCAACAACGGTGATGACAATGATAGCAACCAAAGCGAAACGCTTGTTTACTGGGTTAAGGAGTTCGGATACGAGTCGAAGAGATTATGGCATCTTGCCGCGCCGGCAATTTTCACAGCAATTTGTCAGTATTCACTGGGAGCCCTCACCCAGACTTTTTCCGGCCAACTTACTGAACTAGACCTTGCTGCAGTGTCTGTGGAGAACTCTGTTATAGCTGGACTTGCTTTCGGTGTTATGGTACGTCTCTTTGATTTCAGTATATTTGGATTGGTTTGTAGAAATGATGGTCTTATTCGATTTGATTTTGTCACAGTTGGGAATGGGGAGCGCATTGGAGACTTTATGTGGTCAAGCATATGGTGCTGGGAGGCTAAGGATGCTGGGCGTTTACATGCAGCGATCTTGGGTTATTCTATTGATTACATCATGTTTAATCTCTCCCATTTACATTTGGTCTCCTCCAATTCTTAAACTGTTTGGGGAAACCACTGAAATCTCTGATGCTGCAGGTTGTTGAATGAAAGAAATTTGACTGAAAATCAATCTACAAATTAGTAACATCGTAAGTTTGTTTGATGCAGGTAAGTTTGCTATATGGATGATGCCACAGTTATTTGCTTATGCCATGAACTTTCCTATACAAAAGTTCTTACAAGCTCAGAGCAAAGTTATGGTGATGGCTTGGGTCTCAGCACTGGTGTTGGTTCTTCATGCCTTTTTCAGCTGGCTGCTGATGCTTAAGCTCGATTGGGGCTTGATCGGTGCGGCTGTAACTTTGAACGTATCGTGGTGGCTCATAGTTATTGGACAGTTGTTGTACATTTTTATTACCAAGTCGGATGGTGCTTGGTCTGGTTTCTCATGGCTAGCATTTGTAGATCTATTTGGTTTTGTCAAGCTTTCTTTGGCTTCTGCTATCATGTTATGGCATGTTTCCTTTTTTCCTTCTCCCACCTTCACTTTATGTTCATATTAATCATATATAAGGTTTCGATATTTACAACAGTTGTGGAAAATGTGTTGCAGCTTGGAGTTTTGGTATTTAATGGTGCTGATAGTCATGACAGGTCTCCTGCCAAACCCTCTGATAGCAGTTGATGCCATTTCCATTTGGTAGGTGTTCCATTGTCTCTCTTAACGGTTTAATCTGCGATAATTTCGAACATGAAATCGAAAACAAAATTGAAACAGAAGTGTTATTAGCATTGGTAGAAATTACCTTTTTCTCAACTTTCGTTTTCTCCTATTTCCAGCATGAACATAAATGGATGGGATGCAATGATAGCAATTGGGTTCAATGCTGCTATAAGGTGCATTTCTCTTCATTTTCCTGTTTCTTCCTGGAAGCAGAACTTTTTTAAATATGAACTCTTATAATTGAACTGAGAACTTAACAGATTATGATGCTGTCAACAGTGTGAGAGTATCAAATGAACTTGGAGCTGGAAACGCTCGGCTTGCTAAATTTTCAGTGCTGGTTGTTTCGATGACATCTGTGATCATCGGGATTGTTTGCATGATTGTGGTGTTTGCAACCAGAGGTTACTTCCCTTACCTCTTCACCAGCAGCAATGCAGTTGCCGAAGAAACTACTAAGCTAGCTCTATTATTGGGATTTACGGTCCTCTTGAACAGCCTCCAACCGGTCTTATCAGGTGAGCATTGGCTATGTTTTCCCCACTCTTCAATATCTATCTTGTATCTGATACTGACATTCGAGTCCAAGTAACATAACTGTTTGATTCGTTTTCAGGTGTTGCTGTTGGAGCTGGATGGCAATCACTTGTGGCGTACATAAACATCGGGTGTTACTATATATTTGGATTACCTGCTGGCATACTCCTTGGGTTCACATTTGGCTTTGGGGTTATGGTAAATTTTCTAGTATTTTAGAACTCTGAAACAGGATAAAACTCGTTCAGCATTATTTTTTTCATTCACAAGACTTGAAACAAAATCTTTTTTTCGAGAATATAATAGAATTCAAGAGCATATCTTTATAATTTACTTGTGAAACGATGCAGGGTATTTGGTCAGGAATGATTGCGGGTATTGGTTTGCAAACTCTAATCTTGGTATTGGTGGTTGCACTTACCAACTGGAACAAGGAAGTAAGTATCCCTGCCAATATATTGATAGTTCTTGTATTTATTGCATTTAATAAATAGATATATATCTAATTCATGTTATACAATATTTCTACCACATTTATATTTTTGTATGTTTTATATCATATGATTTATTGTCTTTTAGTACTTTGATCCAACTTAAGTGTCTCTTCTCTAGTTAATTCTGATTTGTTGAATTCAAAGCAAAGCTATGATCCAGATCTTCTCATATGCAGACTGAAGAAGCTGAAAGCCGTATAAAGAGATGGGGAGGATCAACTGGTGGAGAGCGTTGATTTTACATAATTAACTTATTATTATGTATTAATTAAAATAATAAATATTATCAATTATTGATTGATCTAGCAGAATGAGCTTTTAAAATTTTAAGTTGTTTATCAGAATGAGCTTTTAAATTTCTTGAACTATCCATGATTTGAGTGAAACAAATTTTAAAATCATTTAAAAGGCTAATAGCGAGAAGAAGGAAGGCGTGGAGTTATGAGAACCCTTGCACCACACTAGCCAGTACCAGTTCCAACCCTTGAACGGCAAACGAAACTCCGATACACATTCTACGAGCACTCAAGAATGGAATCAGCTCGAAATGCTGTCCTTTAAGATCAATATCTTTGTGGGTTGTTATGAACCTTTGGGGCCGAAATTCACAAGGATCGGACCACACTCGTGGGTCGCGATGAACTTTAGCAAGATTGATGAACAGTCAGGTCCCGGTAGGAATGTCGTAGCCCTGAACAGTGCAGTCTTCCATGGATTCATGGGGCACCGTAAGAGGTCCGGCGGGATATAAATGCAGTGTTTCTTTGATGATTGCTTTAAGGTAGAAGTTCTTAATGTCTGATTCATGGACCAGTCTCTCTTTTCCAACATGAATGTCTAGTTCTTGCTGTAACTTCCTCAGTTCATCCCTGTTGTCGAGTAGCAAAGACATAGCCCATGTCAGTGCACCATTGTTGTATCTGAAGCTGCTAAGATCATAGTCTGCAATAACGAGAAAATCATATCACAAATAGTTGAACAAGTCTCATAATTCTTCGGCTTAATTGAATAAGTAACTACACTATATCCCATATTTTTTTTGGATAATCAAATTTATTTATCCAAAGAAAGCAAATAACTGCTACAAAAAAAAAACACAGGTACAACCAGCTATATAAGCCCCCAGTCAACACAAAGTTGTCTATTTACATTATCCACTCTATGCCTATACAATTTAATCCTAACTGCCCCTTTTATGATATTTACAATTGAATCCGTTGAACGCGACAAACCTCTAAAGATACGATAATTCCGCTCCTCCCATGTAAAATAGACGAAACCAGTCCATGCTAATTTGAGAACATGAATCAACAAGGACTTGCCTTTCCAATTATTAATCATCCAACCAAGATGGCTCTCCCAGTTAAGTCCTTGTAATTGCAACCCACAAGCACGCAAGAGAGAATCCCAAAACAGATGATTCCTAGTGGTTACTTGAATTTCCAGAGTCATTTGTGGAATACAAAGCTCCAGGAGTGTCAGATCATTGTCTTGGAATTATCTGGACACATAAAGGTACTCAGGCTCACAGGCCAAAGCCTTTCAAGTTTTTCAATTGCTGGACTGCTAGTGAAGACTATTTAAGCAGTGTGATGAGTTCCTGGCAAGCTTGCAGCAGAGGGAATGCTATGCAGGTGTTATTTTGCAAAATGAAGAGGCTGAAGCCAGTTTTAAAGGATCTAAATAAGAGACATTATTCTGATATTTCTTCTAGGGTTGTTGCTAAGAGAGCTAAACTAGAGCATATTCAATTATCCAATCTTGTTAATGTTGATCACCTTGGCATTGAGGAGGAAAGGAAAATTCAGGCCGACTTGGTTGGACTTGGGATAGCAGAGTTGGAATTCTTCAGGCAGAGAGCTAAGGCTCATTGGTTGCAGGAAGGGGATCTTAGCACAAAATTTTTTCATCAAAAAGTTGAATCCCGCAAGAAAATCAACACTATAAGAGTTATCAAGAATGATGATGGGCAGTTTCTTGAGACTTTCGATGGAATGGCAGCTGTTCTACTGGAGTTTTACAAAAAAACTCATTGGTGCAATTGATCCTTTGGTTAAAGGTTGTCAACAAGACTGGTTAAGCGATCTTTTGAGTTAATCTTTGCCTGCTGGAGCTGATAGAGTTCTGATTGGTGAGGTTTCAGACAAAGAAATCCAGGAAGCCTTATTTAGGTAGGGGAAAGACAAGAGTCCAGGGCCAGATGGTTATACATCTTGGTTTTTCAAGTCTGCCTGAGAGATTGTGAGAAAAGACTTCCTTAGTGCTATGAGGTATTTCTTTCAAACTTCTTTTCTCTTGCCAGTTTTTAATGCAACTACAATAGTCCTAGTGCCAAAATCCCTGAATGCTTGTATGGCAAGTGAGTTTAGGCCTATTTCATGTTGCTCTATTGTTTATAAGACCATTACCAGAATCTTGATCACTAGGCTAGGACAATTTTTTCCTGATATAATTTCTGCAAGTCAATATGCTTTTGTCAAGGGTAGGAGTATTACTGATAACACTTTGCTTGCTCAAGAAATTGTTAAAGGATATTCTAGGAAGAACCTTTCTCCTAGGTGTGCAATTAAGATAGACTTGAAGAAAGCATTTGATTCTATTAACTGAGAATTCTTGCTCAATTGTAACACCCCAACCCGTATCCGACCCGGATACGAATCCGAGGTGTCACATTGACTTTTAAAAACATGTACTTGTATAAAATAGTGAGTAATTTAAAATTTTTATAACATATAAATAACTAATTTACATAAAAGACATTTTCATTATTACAAAACCAATCAGAGCATGTATCTTTCACTTATTATTTACATATAACTATTCGAAACATTTATAAAACGGTTCATAGCTTAAACAATAGATTCTTTTGAAAACATGCCAACTAGAACTGTATATACTAAAATACCTATTATTCACATCTTTTCTGATCTGACCTTTAGTAAGAAGAACTGACCTGTCCTGCTCCACATTGCTCTTTACTCTTCTCGAAACCTACGTGTAAATCACTTACACGCTAAGTCAAAGACTTAGTGAGGCATATAAACATATAAGGTAAACGGTAACTAATAATCATATCTAAACAATTACTACTATCATTTCATACCACTCATACTTTTACATGTAACAAATATATGCATACATATATGTCGTTATCATTCATATCTCTTATCTCATGTTCCTATGATTTCTTATGTCCATATCATATAAAATATATCATAACCAATTGCACATATACATATCATGTCGTGTACACTATATATATATACTATCATAAAACACGTACACCCAAGCGATTATATTATCATCTTCATTTCTTTCTTATCTTATCACTATCATTGATTCCTTTCATCATATGGTCTTATAAGTTACCATTTGTACAATCAATATCACCCATGAAATTCCACAAGGAAACAAACATATTATCATATCATTTTATTAATATTATTTATTTAATAGCCCATGATACTCATGTGAGAACTAAAGATATGCGAGTACATAGAGGTTGTGCACTAATGCTGTCACCACAGCTCATATAATTGCACCGAAGTGCCACATATAATTGCACCGGAGTGCCATATAATAATTGCACCGGAGTGCCACGTAGAATTGTACCGTAGTGCCATATAATAATGTCCATAAGGACCACGTATCATTCCTTAAGAATCATATACATATACTAGGGATCAAGTATGTGTCTCACCAGACTTCACACATGTTCCAAAGAATACATATATGTCCCGAAGGACCACATATCATTCCTTAAGAATCATATACATATGCCAAGGATCAAGTATGTGTCTCACCAGACTTCACACATATTCCAAAGAATACATATATGTCCCGAAGGACCACATAGACCCTCGACTCTTGGCATGCCAACTATACCCCTAGCTCTCATGAAACATAACATGGGCATTGTCTTTTATATCCTTTTACATATTCATGTAACCATATCATATATTCATATAAGCTCATGGTTTCCTTCACATATACATGTAATCACGTAGTTCATATCCATTCTCATATGAGTTCATATTCATATAAACATAGGATTCACTTTCACATATCACATATACTTTCTCTTTCATATAACTCATGTCTTGTGATCATGTAAACACGTATCACATAAAATAACATGTCAAACATATCACACAACTGATATAATATTCTCATATATTCATGTAGTTCAGTATCACATATCATATGAATCATATAAATCATGTCACATATACTCATGCATACATAAAATTCACAAATCAAATAACATTTTAAGAGTTACTTATTACCATAGTAACTCCGTCACTGGCTCATTGCAAACCAATGCTTATTCGATAACATAAGTACAATGAAATTGCACTCACCTGGCCTCTCTAGTCCATTCCAATCTCTTATCTTCCCTTTTTATCGATATTACTTGTCAATGATTCCGGAACTCGTTTAGGCTCTAAATCTACATAATTATACATTTTAAGACAATTATTAGATACTTACACCTTGTAATTTGATACTAGCAACTTAAACGAACTTATTAAACCAATATTTACAATTTTCCTTTAGGGGGGAATCGGTTCCCTCCTGTGTGGGTATCGGTTCCCCCTTGACATTCTGGAATTCTGTCGTTTGAGAGGGTATCGGTACCCCTTTGAATGGGTACCGATTCCCCCTAACCCAGAAATCATTTTCAGCACGAAAATTACTTCATTTCCTCTCAAACACTCCATATATCATCCCCTTTTTCATTCTTAACTCTAGTACACATACTTAAACCAATCTATATTCATTTATTTCATCTTAAACCTCAAAATTCTATCTTCCATATGTAATTCAATAATTACATCAATTCTGCAATATGTTTCAAATCCAATTCTATTACTCCAAATCTCTTAATTTAACTATTGACAAGTCAAATTCAACTTAAAATTTAACTTATCAACTTTATTTCAAGATTTCATTCAAAAACTCAAAATCTTTAATCTCTCCTAATTCCACCATCCTTTGTTTTTAAGATGATTTAAGCTTTTCTTAAGCTTAGTTATCATCTAATAATCAAAATCCAACCTTAAAATCAACAATTCATTTATAAACAAAGAAACTTACCTTTGGCTCATGGCTTCCACGTGAAGAAGAAGAAGAAAGGAGAAGAGAACTCTGGAGAATTCTCTCCCTTTCCACGTGTATATAATTCCTTAAATGATCAAATGACCATTTTACCCTTTATTTCCTTTAATAATTACTAAATAACCTTCATCATATATATCCAATAATCATTGAACTATTCCATTCTTCTACTTTAGTCATCAAATTCTGAAACTTTACAAATTG